GAATTTTGAATCTCAGTCTTTCCACAGAAAAAAAACTGTATTTACTGTGGAAAATCTACAACAGTTTTTGCAGTCAAATGGATTATGAACCTTTAATTTTTTTTCTGTGGAAGAACTGACATTCAAAATCCCCCAATGGTTTTCATCTTATTTGGAGTAATGCCTGAAGATGGTCTCAAAGAGGCTAAAAACATTTGTGTCTTTATCAATGTTTAATTGCTAAAGTTAGAAGATTAGTGTGATCCATTTAAACTAATCTATTTATTTCATAAAGTAAATTAATTAATTTGTTTCCGTACAAATCAGTAAGAGAACAATCAATGTGACTACCATAACTGTAGAATATTTTTATAGTCATTGTATTTATAATAAAAACAATATATATTAATTCATAATACAGAAAAACATTTTCTTCATAAAGAATAAAAAAAATTCAAACAACTTATTTTATAAATTAAGTATACAGTACTAATTTAATCATCTAATAACACACATGTATGTGTTTGTTACAATCCTCTGGCAAAAATTATGGAATCACTTCCTCACGAGGCTGTTTTCTTTTTTTAGTCTTAAGCATTTAACAAAATAAATAAAAAGCATGTCACACAAAATAATCTTCTAATAATAGATATTTTGGCTATACTAAGAGTAATTTAAACAAACAAAATAATATTGTGTAAATGAAATAAATATATTTTTTTAATATAAAGAAAAAATTTTAGAATCAAAAATAAAGAAAATGCAAACTGCCTTTCAGTGTTATAAAGAGTTCAGTATAAAGAGTTTAATTGAGAAAAATTCATGCAATTATTTTTAACAGTATATCACTGCTGTTCTCAGGCAAGAAAGTTCTGATGTACTTGTAAAACATAGAAAATTCAAAACTACTTCAAATCTCTGAGAAATGAAATACATATTAGAGAGGTTGAGGCGCACGTTTTAAACGTGTAAACGTGTACGTGTGACGTTCGGCGCCGCTTTCCCGTAAGCCTAAAAGTTTGACGATGGTGTTTGGAATGTCGAGCGTGGACTATCCAAACACCATTGTCAAACTTTTAGGCTTACGGGAAAGCGGCGCCGAACGTCACACATACACGTTTACATGTTTAAAACGTGCGCCTCAACCTCTGTATTAAAAACCTAAAGGCAATTAAAAATCTGAAAATAGTTTCTGTTCCTTTAACCTACAGGGGGTTGGCTGGAGACAATTGAAAATGTTCATTTTGCCTTCAATTTTTTGTTCTATGAGCTAGATTTTTAGTTTTGAGTGATATTTACACTTTTCTTCTAGTACACTGTGTGTTTATTACCTGAAAAGGTGCATTGAAAACAACGAAAAAGATTGTAAAACTTATTAAGAAAAACAATTCAACAAAGACTGTTGCAAAAGATGTGTGTTGTTCACAGTATCTAAAATTTAGTGCAAATATAAATAAACCAGAAATATTATAAAAAGACAACATAGTGGTCAACCATAAGACATCAAATTATCAGACTAAGAAACTAAAAGCAATATGTTTTAAAAGTAGAAAATATACAACAAAAGAGATGAATAGGAGGTGAAAAGAAGCTAATGCTAGTGTCTATGGATAGAACAGTTAAAAATCATTTGAAAAATATGGGATTTTCATATGCAAAATGAGAAAGCGTTGACACCAAACAAAAAAACAAAATCAGAATTAAAAAGCAAAGCATTTGTGGACTATAGACAACTATATGAGTGATATTCAGTGATGAATCATAAATTTCATTCATTATAGAGACAATGTTGGAACTTTTGTCTGATGTTATGCTAATAAAGCTTATAAGGATGAAAATGATAAAATTTCTTATCTCAGTTATTACTTGGGTTGGATGTCAGGAAAAGGATCATATAAGCTGGCCATTATTACATCAACAGTTAATGCCCAGGTAAACATTGATGTTTAGAGAACTTTCTTATTCCATTCATGAAAATGTGTTTTGTGATGATATTTTCCAAGATGATAGTGCACCTTGTCACAGGGCTCAAACTGTTAAAAATTGTTCAATATAGCACAATGAACCGGCCATCAAACAGTCCAGATCTCAACCCAGTAAAAAACATGGAAATTAAATAAACTGATCTAGGACAAAGCTCCATACTGCAAATCAGATCTCTTGACTGCTATTCAAGAATGCTGGAATGCTATTGATAGCAAATATTATTTTTCATTAATGAAATCCATACTTGAAAGAATTAAGGTTGTTATAAAAGTTCAAAGTAGAGCAAAAAAATATTAATTAAATTATTTACGTTGTATGCCAAAAACTATCATGTTATATTGGGCTATTATATCACAATTATTTTAAATGATTAGTAATTTAATTATTATTAAATTATTAATAATTTAAATTAGTAATATAGTAGCCCAATATAATCTGGTAGTTGTTGGCATATTACATATGTACGGTACATCAGGTTTGTAGATGTTGGCTTAAGTAGACTGATTACATAAATTTTTTCCTCAGTTTACATAATTCAAAAATCTTTTCCTATATTCAAAATTTAAAAAATTATGTTTAATTTATATAATGTTATTTCAATTGTTTAAGTAGTCAAAAGGTTTAAGTTTGACTATTATTAGAAAAGTATTTTGTATTGTTTATTTGCTGCATACTTAACTACAAAAAACATCTTCACAATGAAGTGATTTTATAATTTTTGCCAGTGGTTGCAGACATCTGTTTACTTACTTGTTGTCATATGAAATTTCATTCCCAGTAAAAATATAATTTGAAGTCATGTCTTAATAGTATATGATTTCAAATGATAAGACATGACTACTAGTAGATGCCATGCAATATTTTTATCTAACAATACTACTTAACAATATTTTTATCGAAATGATGATAAAAACCCTAGTTCACTTATTTCGACATTCAGGGTGAAATTGAGTCATAAAGCATGCTTCGACTAAAGCAAAACATTTTTATATGACAGAACCTGTGAAATACTGCTTAAGCATTATGATCAAATGTGTTATTTGGAATTATTCATTAAAAAATGATTGAAAAATGATTCCTATTTCTAAGTGATAGCTTAATATGTTACTTTTGCTTTCCAGACTACAAACTGATAATGCTACCAGCACCTACATTAATTATTAACTAAAACTAGTGGCAATAAATAATTTGAAGTGATAAAAAAAAATTTAAAATTTGCAGAATGATTGGCAATGTTTTCAAATTTTCCAGAGCAACCCTTGAAATAGGCTTATAAGAATGACTTTTTAGGCCACTAATATCACTAAAAAAAAAAAAATAAGATTCAAACTCTGAATGGCAGATTTCCCACACACTCCAAAATTGTGGACCCCTATACAAGAAAAAAGTCAAAGGAATCACACCCATACATGTGACTCTGTGAGATATTTGCATCCAAAGTTTTCCAGTTGCTATCTTGCTACTATGGCATCTACTAGCAAAATGGCAAGCAAACACCATAACAGCAACCAGTGCCTATAACAAATAATAAATGTATTACTTCTACTCGCCGAAAACAGTTTTTACTTGAAACTAGTATTACTCCCTATTCTCCATGCTCTGAATCAATCTACGTGTAGTTATGAACAACAAACCACCAACTATATAACATCAAGTACTCCATGAACAGTCAAGTGGTCCATACATTTAGTACAAGTGGCATAATCACTTGAACTAGATGGAAACACAAACACTAATCTCATCAGGAAAAAAACACACAAAGTCACACAAAGGAAAAAAAACACTGGCAGTTAGAATATCAATGGTAGAAACAGCTTAATAGTAGTGTGCAACACAGTAAGGTAGGAATGACCAAATGCCTTGTCAGAAAATCATTGCTTAAATAGTTGACCACTGTAACAATTAATCTTTTCTTTATTCTTTACCGATAAATATTGTTAGAATGGATGACTACTGTATCAGGCTGCCAGTTAAACACACAATAAGATTAGCAGATTACACAGTGTGACTTTTAATCACATCTTAGAAGTAGAGTGATTTTGGGGGGACAATATCTCATAAAGGGTCACATGCAGACCATTGGTTCCTTTGACATTTTTGCTCCTGTAGATATAGTGTAGAGTTCTGTTAAGCACTCAACCATGTCATTGAGAGGTGTAATCGCAACCTAAAGAAGTCCACTTAGACAATGCCCGAACTTCTCCCTCCCCATTGTGTAAAATGAAGTCCTTTACACAACATACCTCCTTTACACTTAAATGAACTGCCGTATTTCTGACTTCTATAAAATCTGTTTAGCAAAGAACACGGTATCATATGAAACCAATCAGAAACCATTATAGAAATGATATCAAGTTCAAAATGATTTCTGGAGAAATGATATCAAGTTTCAAATGACATATGATATTACTTGTAATCATTTCATCATTTGATATCAAGTAATATCATGTCGTCATTTGAAACTGTCCAAAAATCACTTCAGACTTGATGTAACTTTATATCATTTAAAAATAATGAAATGATACTTTTATTAAGGTTGTTAAAGAAATATTGGTAGTTTCATCCCATACAGGAAAACATTTAACTTTTCTTTAAATAAAACTATGAAAATCAAAAAGTCAATAGATAACAATTCTATAAGAAAATGTTTATATCGTAGATTGTCTTGACAGAGACCTTTCAAAATAACTTACATGTACTGTACAGTACAACCATTATCGGAATTTGAGTTTAATACTTCAATAGATAATTGCTTATGTACTAAAATTAAAATCATACAATCTTTTATCATAATTAAGTTTATATATGCATTAAAATAGCTTAAAAAGTGTAATTTATTAGATAATTTTTACAAATATTTGCGCTAAACAAGATAAGACAAATGGCTGACTGATTAATGTAATTCATAACACTTTGAAAGTTATTTATAGTAAATGAATATTATTATTGATTAAATATCAAATAATTTAATATTGTATAATCATAATCGTACATATATCATTTATATTAAAATTGATATCTACGTTAACATATACCTGAACTGCCGGTGGAAGCCGCCATCTTGCTTACATTCATTGAACTCTAGTGCGAGATTATATTACTCTAATGGAATCTAAAACGAAAACTTTATTATAGATTTTATTATTGGTCAACAGTTAAATTTCTAAATAAGTTTAGCCAATAATTTCGTTTGTGTATATATCATTAATAAATTGAAATTATATATAATTTTTAGCAATGAATAGAAATAAACAATTTTTATTCATATGGCAATTTCTTATTTTGATAATGAAGTAGCTATTTTCAAGTCGAAATTTTAATTACTAGAATTATTACGAAAGTCAAACGAGAAATACTGGATTTCTGAATTTATGTTGGCTGTTTTTATTTTAGCTTTATGTTGTAATACAATTCAATAATTTATAAATAAATATTTAATTAATTCTAAGATAGACTATTCTCTACTCCATTAAACATTAAACTTTGCTTTGGGTTCTGGAATTCTAAAAGTTGAGTATTTAGAAAAGGTTATTTTTTGGGCCTCTATCAAAATCAAAGATATAGACTAAGTATTTGCAGTTTTCACTAACGCCAAATATAATGCATAAAGTGACAGAATGTAAATGGTCAAATTCAGTTGTAGTTCAGGTCCTACAGTTTTTGGAACTTCGTGTCAAAAATTATTAATTAAAAGTATTAAAAGTATATTTAAAATTATAATTAAGTGCCTTTTAATCTTTAAATTTTTTTCACTCGAAAACTAGTCATTTTTGAAATAATAGCGTAATAACAATAAACTTGAGAAGCAGTCTAATGAAATAAATTTATTCTTCGAAGGAAGAGAATATATAAAATATATATTACCTGTATTTGTAATATTATTGAATAAAACAAAATATAGAATTTTTGAATAAAATGATAAAAATTAAAGATGAAACTGGTCAAAATTCGATTATTGTATACAGCCGCGCATTCAGAAATATGGTGTCCTTACGTGTACAGTACAATATGCACGCGTGCCTCAAACTAATAGTTCCACTTTTGCACTGAAAAATTCTATTTTATAATTTTAATTCTGCAAGAATTGTATTTTTATAGATTTTTAAATATCGAAAGATTAAAGGCTACTGTTACTGAAAACATGTCATTAGTATTCACTCTCTGTTCCTGCTAAATAAATTCATATATTCTTTTCAACTGATGTGTCTTATTTTGTTCCTACCTAAGCTTTTAATTTACACTAACTACTTTGTAAATTATTTTACATAAAATTGTCTTTTCAATATTTTATTATTATTATTATGTTGGGTTCAGTGGTTTATACTCTGTTGACACTGGTGGTTGTGTACTATGCCGGACCAGAGTCAAGGCATAGCAACCAAAATAAAACTAAAATTAAATAAGTGTGTCAGTGTCACTGTCTGTATTCAGAATTTCCTAACAATATGGCATGATTCAATATAGTGGCCTTCTGTAGTGTGATGTATGTATTTCTATTCAATTGTAATGTTCCCAGGCTTTTGTGTAGTGTGTGTGGTATCACACCTGTACAGGAGAGAACGACAGGTACAATAAACACCCTTTCCATCCTCCACAGATGTCTTATTTCCTGGGCGAGTTCTGTGTACTTGCTAATTTTTCCAGTGCATGTGTTTTGTACATTGTGAATGTTTGGAGTGGCTATGTCTATTATGTACGTGATTTTATTGTGTTTGTCAATGAGTGTGACGTCTGGTCTGTTATGATAAATTGTTTTATCTGTGATTATGGCTCTGTCGTAGTACATTCTTCGTAATATTAGATGTAATAAAGAGAGAAATTTTTCCAGTTCAATGTCAGTGACCGAAAAGTTGTAAATTTTGCAAATTTTCGTGTACCCTGATCCTAAAACGAATTAGTTAGAAAACAAACGACAGACAATCTATTATGTTTAACATATTTAGATTTTTACAGCTATGGTGAGAAACGTTTAAAATTTACAACAACCCTGTCGCGTCCTTTGAGGTTTACTAATGATGCGACAAAAGAGGCATTTGACATTGACCGGTATCGGCACCTTCGGGATTTGGGATTTGGCATGCACCTACCAGGACCGTCTCTGATTCCATTCATTAGCCACTTGTAGGGAGCTAGTTGACTAAATGGATTGTTTTAAGTTTTAAAAAGTAAAGATTTTATGTTATTTTTATGTACGTTTCTTTACAAAGCTATATTTAATTATAATATAATTGAAGAATATTTTGTACCAGGTATGTACTATACATCCACCACACATTTTATTTCACCAAGTAAGTTTTTATTATTTTATTTATAATTTTAGCCCTTATATTATGGCTAACGATTCGGAGTGTAATTGTGATATTAATTAAAAATACATTTAGAGAAGTCTGCGGTTTTTACTGGATTATCGAACAAACGATAAGAATGGACCCTTGACCATCGCTGACGCGCAATTAACCGATTGCCCCTGGAAGTCGGCTTCTTACAGAAATCCAGCTTCCCTACTATCAAATGTCACTGCACGCCACTGAAATGTAGGGAGGTGACAGTACAGGGAAAAAATTTTCTTTCCATAGCTACCGTGTTTCCCCGAAAATAAGACAATGTCTTATATTTATTTTTGCTCTGAAAAATGCGCTAGGTCTTATTTTCAGGGAATGTCTTATTTTTTCTAGGATGAAGAATTCACATTTATTATTGAACAAAAAATTCCTAAATCGAACTTAGACGAGAGAGTGACGTATATCCGGTGTGTCCAACTGTCGCCTTTTTATAGCGTCAACATCGGACTCGATGACCAATTAGTGCTTACTGAACCGTAGCACTATGCAAATGTAATGTAGCGTGATTCCCGGCCGACCAATTAGCCATCACCAGCCATAACGTTATGCAAATCTGTGATTCTCAAGCCATAGTCTTATACAAATCATGCCGTGTGGCGTAATTGTCTGTTGACCAATCAGTGGCTGTACTTTCAAAAAGTCAACGGCCACTTTCAACCATCTGTCCATGACCGTTACGACTAAAAAAAAACTTCGCTAGGTCTTACTTTCAGGGGGAGGTCTTATATTTCGCAATTCAGCAAAACCTGTGCTAGGTATTATTTTCTGCGGATGTCTTATTTTCGGGGAAACACGGTATTCTCAATCATGCAGTTTCTCATGGTTAATTAACAGTGGAGGACTACAGATCAGGTGCAAGAAGCGCGTGCTTGGGGCCTCCGAAAGACAGCAGCTTCAGAAAGAAATATATTCTGCGAACTTCAGGCACAAATATCATTTTCATATAGACAAATTGCCGTTCGTAAATTACAAACGGCTTCGTAAAATTTTTAATGCTTAATAACTGACCAATAAAATTTCCTTTTCGAGTGTGAGAAAATATTTTAAGTTATAAATAATGTCTAAAATTACAGTATTTGTGCGTTTACGTACAGTACCCACTATCCAGTCAAATAAGCGCTGGATCTATTGTCTACTTCAAACGAATAAAATGTTCTACGTATTTGGCATTTTCAGTGTCGAATTTTTATACAGAAAACTAGCTGCAAGGACCCGCTTCGCTGGGTTTTTATTTGTTCGTACGTTTGTATGTAATATAGTTGTTTTTATATATAAAAGACTGTTTTTCTAAGTAATCTAGAATCTAGCTGCAATGACCCGCTTCGCTGGGCAAAAAGTAACGATAGTGAAGATTAAGATAATTACATTATAGCTAATCTTACCCGTTTTCACAGAATGCAAGAATTAGGTCCCCCGTTTCCAGACTAATTAGAGAATTTTTACAT